GCATAGGCTTGCTAGTGAGGAGGCACCTGGCTCATGTTGGACTGCTACTTCTTCCCTACTCTGGGATCAGAAATCATCTCAGCATGGCAGGTCTTTATATGCAAGACAAGGCCACGAACATGAATGACTTTCTTTGTGTCTTTGTAGTGTCAACCCCTGCTCTTGAGCTCTAATTTTCTTTTAATTGAAATCATATATGTGATAAATATTGATCATCTTTGTTGTCATTTCCCAGCTGCAATGTCTGGAGAGTCCGAATCATAACTAAGTCAATATTTGCATGGGAAAACTCTCCCTTCTTTTCCTCCCTAGTGGTAAATTCCCAACCATTACTTCCATTAAAGGTCCAAGTGCAGGAAGAAAAAAAAAACCCAACCCCTCTGTCCTTCCCATTTCTCTTTTCTTTCCATTTTTTTTTCAGATTTTCAGATGATTACTCCAAATAGGCACATGCTCAGATACTCTTTAGAGGGCTACTGTTAGCATACACTTACCAAACAGGCTCAGCTTCCCGTAGGAGCCAGCCCTTTAATGGCTCTGTCCTGGATCTTCAGTCTTTTTAACTCACTAACTGTAAAAAAGAAGGCTAAATGGAACATCAGGCCATGGATTATACCTGCAGTGCAGGGTTAGGTGTACATCTTCCATGGCAGCCTGGAGAGAGTCATCTGAGTCTCAAAGGACATTTCATGCTGTCTTCATAACAGATTCTGTCTTTGTTCTGTTTTCTGACAGTTCTCACGTTTTTATTTGGAGAAAGGGTTCACATTAAACCGTGCCTGAAGCCGTGTTGTGGAGAATTCCTGCCCCATGGGATGCCTCAGGCCTCCACTTTTGCGTCCTTTGGTGACGGAGGTCCCTGCCACAAAGGGCTCTCGAGGAGACAGGGACCTTGAGAAAAAAAGTCTGATGTCAGCAACTCTGTTGTGACTTTTTAATCATTGGAGTGCCTGGCTGTTGCCCTGCTTTATCAGGCTAATGTTTTCCAAAGGGCAAATATGGAAGGTGGAAGCAACAGCATGAGGATTATTCTTACATGTTATAGCCTAGGTCGGGATCGATGCAAAGAAGGTGAAATGGAACATGGGAGGCAATTGCTGAGAGCATCAGTGAAATTTCAGGGGAAATTCTGTGGGGTTTGGGGGAAAAAAAAGATCTGAAAGGAAGAAAGAAGCCTCAAAAATGAAATAGCTAGTCATCTTCGCTCAAAAAAATAAATTATTTAAAATTAAACAAGTAGTTTTTCCATCATCAACAGCTTTACAATTCCCAACAGATGCAATTTTGAAACACAAACCCAAAAGACTCTAATTTTCGATTTTCTTGATCTTGTTTTCAGACAAAAATGTCATTTCTACAAGGTACAGCTTGAGAAAGGTGACTTATGGCACCAGTAAGCACGTGGCATATGTTTTTCAGGTGGCTGTTCCTCAGAGTCTTCCCATCCCTCCTGTTCATGTCTATACAAGGTTCAGGGATTCCTTCCAGGCCTTTTTAAAATTAAACTGTTTTTCAGAATCATGGGCTAACAGATGGAGAAGAGTTGTCATCAGTTAACCAAAGTAAACATAGTTACAAAGGGATTTTGGGCAATAACTATGTGCAATTATGCAATTCAGTCACCTTCCACTTTAACTTTGGGGGATTGCATAAATCTGTGATGTACCTGACCAGTGCTCCTGTGCTCCTCTTGAGTGCTGCAGTTCATCCAGATAACTTTGAATGGAGCTTCACCCACATTAGAGTCTTTAAAGCAAATAAGAATCATAGAATAGTTCTGGTTGGAAGAGACCTTCAAGATCATCAAGTCCACCCGAGGCACCACTGACCCATGTCCCCCAGCACCACAGCTGCACAGCCTGGAAACCCCTCCAGGGATGGGGACTCCACCACTGCCATGGGCAGCCTGGGACAGGACTGGACAACCCTTTCAGGGAAGACGTTTTTCATAATGTCCAATCTAAACCTTCCCTGGTGCAAATTGAGGTCATTTCTTCTCATCCTGTCGCTTATTCCTTGGGAGAAGAGCCCAACACCCACCTGACTCCAGCCTCCTCTCAGGGAGTTGTGCAGAGCCAGAAGGTCTCCACTGAACATCCTTTGCTCCAGGCTCAGCACCCCCAGGTCCCTCAGCCACCCCTCATCAGACTTGGGCTCTAGACCCATTCCCAGCTTTGTTGTCCTCTGGCCATGCTCCAGCCCCTCCAGGTCCTTCCTGGAGTGAAGGGCCCAAAACTGACCTCAGGATTTGAGATGTGGTCTCACCAGTGCCAACTACAGCTGGATGATCCCTTCCCTAGTCCTCCTGGCCTCACTGTTTCTGACACAAGCAAGGATGCTGGTGGCCTCCTTGGCCACCAAAGGGACCCCATTTGCACCTGTGGGCACCTGCAGAAGAGCAGGTCTGTCTCTGCTCTGCAGGTTCACTGGTGGGAGCTGGGCAGAGTTTGGGGTTCCAGGTGTCTGAGAGTGCTCTTCATTGTGGAGGTGAGTGATGACCTTTATGTCACACTGACAGGACGCAGCAGGACAGGTGCTGGGTGGCCTTGTTCCTAGGATCATGCAGCTTCAGAGCTGGTTCCATGGGGTGTCATGGGTACAGAGGAGGGGTTTCTCATCATACTGAGCCAATTTTAATTGACTCGGTGATGCTGGCTGTTTCCTCACTGTTCTGTGAAAGTCCTGCATGAAAGGGTGTGGGTAAAACCTGACATGTTGTCTTTAATTTTTTGAATCCCAAATTTCTGGAGATGAATGGAGGAAAAAATACCACAGGGAGCTGAAAAAGATCTGAAGCAAAAATCCCCCAAAGTTAGTTAGGAAATCCAGAGCCTGGCCCTGGGTTATGCTTCAGCCTACCAGTTAACATGCTCTTGTTGCCTGCTCAGTAATTTGTGAGGAACAGGGATGAAGAATCCAGACTTGGCAAGCGGGCCTTCCAGACAGATTTTGTCAGATGAAATCCCAGTAGACATTAATCCAACATCAACAGCTCCTGAGCTATCACATGAGAATGTGCAAAGAGATAAAACCAGCATCCTAAAGGATGGATTTTCTATTTTAAGGGGCAGAGAAGGGAATTAGGCTAATGTAATTTTTGTTTTTGTGGAGTCATTCAGAGAAATGATGGAAAATGCTGGTTCCAAAACCACATATCATTCTGTCTTTTCTTGAATTATTCTTTTAAAGTTGCTTAACTCCTTTCTTGTGCCCTTCCTACATGTGAAGAGAGGTTAATCCTATCTGCCACTACCTCAGAGGGGTTGTGAGGGCAGGGTTTGGAAAAGAATTCGCTGTCTGTGCAAAGAATCCACAAGTGACTGCAGGGGAAAAAAAAAAAAAAAAAAACCAACAAAAAACCGAAAGCCTAGACCTACTGTTGGGAAACTCCAGCACCAGTCAACTACTTTCTGGAAGTGAAATGTTCTGTTACATAAACATCCTTGAAGCTTTGCAGAAGGGGTGACATTCACATGTGGGGCCTGACTTTGTGTGTGAAGAATGGGGATGGAGAGGATAAGGAAGTGAAGTCCCCAAGGTGCCAGCTGGGCCTCCTTCTTCCCATGGCCTCTATTGTTGCTTACGTGTTGAAAAGGGGTCTTGGAGCCTCCTGTAGCACTGAGCTGATGAGTTCTAAACTCTGCATTAACTCAGTGGTCCTGCTCTGTTTATCCATAAACAGCACGCAGACCATGTAGCTCTTGGCTGCTTCTACTTGTGGTGGGAGGAGGGGGCTGTGAACCTCAGGAGATCTGTGTCACCATTCCAATGATTACGTGGGGGACCAAACTCTGCTGCTCTAATGGGCAGCATTAGGTGGCACCAGCACCTCTCTATCCAAAACTCACTGGAGACTCAGGGTCTGCCCCAGTGCTTGTGGCAAAGTGAAGCTGCAGCATGAGTTGAAAGTCACCACTTTGCTCTGCACACATGTTGTAAAGCTTTGTCAACAGTCCCAGGCAAATAACTAAACTAAACTAAACTAAACTAAACTAAACTAAACTAAAATATGATTCTATGATTCATTCTGTGATTCTATAACCTGTTTTCCTCCCCTATCTCTCCAGGGAAAACTAAGTATAGCAGGCATGTCGATAACTTGATAGTGCCTACTACCAAAGTCACATGTTTCTTTTTTTTTATTTCATGACAAACACAGAATAATGGTCTGCAGGTTTTGCACCCCACATAGCTCTTGGGGTAACAGGTCAGATTGAGCAGCTGGGGTGGCACTGAAAGGAACAGAGTCACCACCTGAAAGAGCCAGTGCTGCACTGGTTAGGAAAGAGTAAAATCTGAATTCCCAACTCTTTTTCTTTTCACAGCTGTTAAGAGTTCAGTGGGTTGAACTGCAATCCTTCAAGTTCATCTGTTGACTCCAACACAAAACTATTATAAACTATGCCTCTAAAACACGTGATGAAACATTGCTCGAGAGCTATTTATTCCAACTGCAGCAGAGGAAACTTTTCAGAGCACCCGGCATTTGGTGGAGGAAAGTTCTCTTGAGCTTTGCAAAAGGAGGAATTATTTACATACCAACGTAAGTTACTTTCTGATTTCTTTTTTTTCTCCCCCCTACATCACTGAATAAAATAACACACCTAACTTTTTCAACCTCCTACGAAACCGTGGTGAAGCAGCACAAAACTATGCCTAGCTGAGTATTTCTCTGTAGCTTTCTTTCTTTAATCATGGGGGTTTGGGCTTTTATAATTTGGCATAGAACTGGAGATGGTTTAATGCTCTGTGTTTTCTTTCCTCTGGTGTTTTTTGTATCTGAATAACAGTTTGTTCACTCACAAAACTACGTCAGAGGTGTGACAGACTGCAGGCTTCCATCAGGTGTGGGCTTACAGGTTGCAAGTAGCAAGGAATAATTTAGGGATATCTTTTTTCCAGATGTTTCTTTTACATCTTCGATCTGAAGTTTGAGCTTATGTGTATGTACACGTTCTCCTCTAGGCTTTAGCTGTGGTGGAACACTTCCCATACTGAAGATGGACCATGTAAACGTGACCCAAGCCATGCTTGATGCTGAATCCCGCAACACGGAGAAGAACAACAACGAGTATTTTTACATTCTGATTGTCATGTCTTTCTATGGGATCTTCCTGATCGGGATAATGCTCGGCTACATGAAATCCAAAAGGAAAGAGAAGTCATCCAATTTGCTTCTGCTCTACAAAGATGAAGAGAGAGAATGGGGGGAAGCTGTGAAGCCTCTGCCAACCGTATCGGGGCTGAAGTCCGTCCAGATCCCCATGATGCTGAACATGCTGCAGGAGAGCATGGTGCCATCCCTGTCCTGTGCCATCTGCTCAATGGAAGGCAGCAGTGTGAGCTCCGAATCCTCCTCCCCAGACGTGCACTTCACCATCCAGGAGGAAGTGCTGGATGCTGAACTGGGGGAAGTGTCAGAAACGCTCCTCAACGAGAGCAGTGAGGGATCTGCGGAAAACCTCCACAAGAACTCCTAGCACTTGCAGGGCTCCCTTGAGCAACTGCCAAAGCCTGAGTGGAGCTCCCACTAAGAACTCGTGGTTCTACTTTCCTGCTCTCCAATGAACTCTGAACAGGTACCTGTGCCCTGGGGCCTGAGGTGTTCCTGAGAGCTGGCAGGACAAGGAAGCAGTGGTACCCAACTCCAACATGTAACTTGCACATCATTGGGATGCTTAATTCTATTTTTTCCATTATTAATTCTTACCATAAAAGCTGAGAACATGGAGACTATATATATATAGGGTTTTTTTCTAACGAGGTAACTATTACTGGCATGTCTCTGCATATTTCAGAATTCTGCAGATATCTGGGAAATGTTTGGGGAAGTTACCCTAATGCAAGTGCCTGGTTGTTAAAGACGATGGGTGATGCTCATTCACACGAAGCTGTGAGAGACTAGAAGTACTTTTACTGTTGTCTTCCTTACCACAAACCACAGCCAACAGCAGATTTGTTCAGTAAGGCTTCAAAAGCTGAAAATTTGCCTATGCTGAAGGGAGATTGCAGCATGGCTGGAGACTGACTTTAGGCACAGAAAGAATTAAAGGGAAGAAAGAGGCACTGAATTTTTGGGAGGGTTGTAGAGCCCAGTTTCAGATCCATGCCATCATATCTGTTTTTCCTTGTGCTGCCTGGGTCAGATTCACCAACCTCTGCTGCAACCCAGCCTTTGAGTTACCTACAGGGAAGGTGGGTTTGTTTTTTGCTGTTTGTGTTTTTTTTTTTTACAGATATGTCCATTCAATCACTGAAGGCAAAGACCTGTAAGTTAAGGAAGACATGAAAAGATCTTTGTTACAAGGTGTAAGATATAGAAAGGCTTGAACAAATGCTGCTTTGTCATGCCCCCTTGAAAAATAGGTGGAATTCAGGGTAGAACTCAGCTTAGCAAGGGTGAAATCCTGGCCCCACTGAAGACCTCAGCCAAGTCCTCCTGACTTCAAGGGACATGCACAATATTTTGTGCTTCTCTGTTGGAGTTAAACTCTGCGTTTGAGGTCAGCACAACTGTACCCATGTACATTGTTAAAGAATCTAGACTTTCTGCTCTATCTATCCAGTGCAGATAAACATTACATCTTTCTTTTTAATCTGCTCGCATGTGACACATGCATTTCTATACAGTCATTAGGAACAAGTTTTTCAAATGCACAAACTTCTCCCCCACCCCACCTTAACTTAATGGTACTGTGATTTATTTTTTTTTTCCAAATGCTTATGAAATTAATGACTAAGTTATTGCACTGTTAAAAGAAATAAGAATGAATAAAAAGGAAAGAATGTCTGTTTCAATCATACCTTATATTCTATAATAATTTATTATAACGTTTGAACTAATTCTGAAGCATGAGGGCTGATGAGCCTGAATCTAAAACGTTGCACAGCAAAACATTTGCCAAACTTTTCCACAAATATCCTGTGCTAAAATAGCTCTGTGATTTATCCACTGGCCTTAGAGCTTGAGAAACACGAACGCTGAGGAGCAGAGACGAGCTGCAGCAGGAGTCTGCTGTCCTGCTGCTGAGGAGGGAGAGCTCTTGGCTTGGAGGGTCAACATGATGTGGCCCGTGGAGCTATCTCTGGGTCTCTCTCCACAGAGCAGAACAAAAGCTCCATTGTGCTCAGCAAGGGCCCGATCCAGTTCAGACCGAAGGCAGTGGGAGTTTTTCCATCGGCTTCAGTGAACTTTGGATCAGACCATATAAAGCTTTTTGGTAGATTTACTCCAAAAGGGGCTGTTTTAAGTTCGAAAGAAGCCAAATTGAGTTTGGCACTTTGCCTGGAATCACTTGAATCCTGAAACTTTCCAAATGAGACTGACATGGGCAAGTTGTCACATTTTCCATTGCTTTCTCCTTCGTCCTTTTACTTTTGGTATAAATGTATTTGTATCTGTAAAAAAATGATGTATATAATTCCTAACATCAAGTTGTATATAATTGTCTCATGTATTTAAAGTTTATTGTTTCTACTGGCACTAATTTTTATTTAAATAAAGAAACACGTTTCCTGGAAAAGTTCCCAGGTTTGTTCTCTGCGTCAAAGAGATTTCCAGTAATGAGACTGGGCAAAATTTCTACAGAATCCTTTTCTTAGCCTCTTTTTGAAATCATTCCTCATGTTGCCAGTACTTCAGCATTACGGGCTGAGACAGGGGTCTGGATCTGCCTTGGGTCTGTTTCGGTTCCTTGGGACACTGGGCAACCTCCTGATGCTCAGCTCCTGCCCGGTGCAGGCAGGTCCACAGGGATGCCCAGAGCTGGGGGTGCTGGTGAGCCATTGAGGAGGCTGGAAAAACCAACAGGCTGCTCTGGAAACTTCTTTATGTCACTTATTCAGCCTCTTGAAAAGTCTGCAATTTGCCTTTTGGTGTAGCAAACGGGGTGGTGGGCTAGGGGTGAGGTTGTGGGCAAGTACCCGACACATGTCCCTGGTCCTACTGGATTTCTGGTGCTCGGCCATGGTATAGAGCTGGCTTTGGCACAAGCTTGGACCCTGGCTCTCAGAGCTGCTCTGTTATTTCCAGCATTAAGGGATAAGGGAGGTTTGGGGATTCTGGCTCCTAATGCACAGCAGAAGAGTTTAGAGGCAACTTTGCACCACTTCCACATCTCCTTCAAGCTGTGACAGTAGGTGCAGGCTGGGACCTACTTGCATGGGGTAATTTGAGGTTGTTCCAAAAATCAGGTTGCTATGAAGTCATATGTGCTCACTTTCCAAGAGAACCTGTTCCCCTGTGCTCTGCTCTCTTTACTCACTCCCTGTTAAGTAATTCTAGGGTCTGCTCACAGACCTCTGTGGACCTAAAGCACCAACAAGGCCGTGTTTCCCTCCGGCAGTGAAATCTCCTGGAACACCCCCGGTGTCCTGGAATGGTGGGTCAGTAACGCTGCATCTTCCACACTTCCCCAGCACGCTGTCTCAGTGTTTCCACTGCCACAATAATGAATCAAAGGACTTCTGACAGCGCTGGTGATAAGAAGGAAAAACAGAACAAAATGTAAATTACAGCTCGGCTTTACGGATCAAAAAGCTAGATTCTTCCAGAGGCTTCTTGTGTTATATGGAGCTGCTCCAGAGGGGAATACTGTGTGCTTTGGGGTCTATGCACACGAAAGTGAGCTAGTGAGAACAAAAATGTGGTCACCTTCTCCTAGACCGCGATGGAGCTATCCTTGGCACATGTGGTTTGAGAAAGCACACGTGATACTTTGGTATGTATTTGTCTTTCTCCTGGGGCATTTGTCTTTGTGCAAATCAGTATTCTGATGACACAAGGGAAAAAAAAAAAAAAAAAGAAGGAAAAATATATTTTAGCTATAAAAATTAATTGGATGTGCTACTGAATGCAATGATGCCTTGAAGACAAGCCAGTGATCCAAGACTACCAGGTAGCTATTATTCCAAAAGAAATGCAGTGCTCTCAATCTTGGATAGCTACAGATGGAAGGAAGAAAATTGCCCTCATTAAGCTTCTTTCAAAATCCTTTTGACTACTAAGAAGTAAAAGGTAGTAATTTTATTTTTTTTCCCAAAACTGACAGACACTTCCAGTGCGCTTCAGTAACTGAGTTAAATCGCATTCAGAGCTAATAGATCTTGGCTCGAGGACGACGATAATTGACTATAATTTGACTGAATGAAGATGATTTTATTTTTACAAATGCACTTCTTCTTGAAAGAACACAGCAATTAGGCTCCCATGCTACTCACCATACGTTTGCTGAAACAGGTAATGCGTATCACCTTTGAGAGGAGGGGAAAAGACGGTCACGTGGAGCAGGATCTCCCAGGATCTCCCAGGACTGCCGTGCTCTGCACCAGGGACAGAGTTAACCAGAGAGGAAAGGTTAATGAACACAAGAGAATCCACTTTCCCAGGACTAGAAGGCAGGTCACAGATGGTGCTAAGTAAGGCCGGGAGCCTCAAGTGTTACAACTCATTGCAGAACTCCTCTTCCCAGCTTGGCGCTCTCACAGTGGGTTCTCCTGGATCTGTTCCTTTCTCAGGCATGCACCCACACCTACCCAAATAATCAAATCAACTCTCTCAGGGCTGGAAAGGAAGGAAACGGATAAAGTCTAGCAGTCATTTCTGTTTCAAAGTCCTTAGTGCACGCTGTTGGACTAGGATAGGTGTACTGCTTGAGGACAAGGGGCACAGAGGACCCCAACGCAGGCTGTGTTTTGATCACAGCCATTTCAACCTAGAGAAACCTCCTGCCTTTAACTTTCACCTAAAAATTTCAAGATCCTGCAAAGATGGAAGGAGTCCCTGGATGTAAGAGAGGAGCATTCTCAGAGATTTTCAAAGTGGGGAGCAGGACAGTATAGTTGGTTGTGGCAGATGCGGTAGGGCCAAAGCTGGACCACCCTCTCCTGTGGTGGTTGACCCACCACACTCACATTATCACCATTTTGGACCTTGTAGTTTTAGTGGGAAGGTGATTTCTCCCTGAATTCACTGCTGCCCTTTATATTTCAAATATGAGGTTTGGATCTAAGAGGCATAAAAGTTAATAAAATAGTTTAGGCTGTTGGGTTTGAGGGACTGATCATATTTGCTTCTTTGTATTTGCTTGATTTGCTTTTGTGGGCTTTCTGTTTTCACACGCCTCTGTAGTTCCTGCTGCAGACAGCCAAAAATAGCTATGAGATGAGCCACCTTCTCAGTGTGTTGACACTTCTGTATCCATCTCAGCTAGGGAAGAACACAGGAAATAACACAAAATCAACGAGCACCAAAGTACTTCAAAGCTTAATTTTGTTTCAGCTGCTGTTTGGGTAAGGTTCCAGTTTGCATTAGGCCAGATTAAACTGAGGCTTTTGCCAACCAAATAAGTGACCAAAAGAAGGATAATAAAGGCTATTGAATGGTGCATCCCAGGCTATGTTCCCATCTCTCTCCGTGGGGCATCTTCTTTATTATTCCATGGGGAATCCCTGCTTATTGGAGGGGGGTTGGACAAGATGA